TTCCAAGGAGCAGCTGGTAGATTCATACTGCTGACCTTTTGGTTAGCAGCAAAGCTCTTAACCACCACGCCACCAGGGTTTCCAAAAACATGACGAACAGTTAGTAGTAAATTCACTTATCAGGGCCCAGCTGGTAGTTCTACTGTGTGAGAGAGATTACTAATGCAAGCAAAATTCTGAGGCCTGTGGAGAGCTGTAATTTTGTGAAAATATTAGTGGAGGAGGCTCCAGTATGGAGTTTATTTAACATTTATGCAATCCATATAACGCCTGAAGGAAAACATGGGCCTCAGTTCCTTCTAGTAGTGACACTGTCTTTACAGACTTAGTCCTTATCTTAAAAAAAAAAAAGCCCAACCAGATGCCGAGTTGACTCCGACTCATGGTGACCCCATGTGTGTCAGAGTAGAATGTGCTCCACAGGGTTATCTTTTTTTTTTTTTAAATTGTGCTTTCGGTAAAGTTTACAGAGCAAATTTGTTTCTCATTCAACAGTTTATACACAAATGGTTTTGTAACACTGGTTGCAATCCCACGATGTGTCAGTGCTCTCCCCTTCCACACCCCAGTTGCCTGTGTCCATTCCTCCAGGTTTCCCGTCACTTCCTGCCTTCCTGTCTTTGCTTTCAGGCAAACGTTGCCCTTTTGGTCTTGTGTACGTGACTGAACTAAGAAGCATGTCCCTCATGTTACGGTTGGTTTTTATGGACCTATGTCATCTCTGGCTGAAGGGTGAATTTCGGGAGTGGCTTCAGTTCTGAGTTAAAAGGGTGTCCAGGGGCAAAAGGCCATAGGGTTTTCAATGGCTGATTTTTCAGAAGTAGATCGGCAGGCTTTTCTTCCAAGGTGCCCCTTCGCAGGTTCAAACCACCAACCTTTGGGTTAGTAGCTGAGTGCTTATCCAACATCTGCTCAATCTAGATATAACAGTAAGATTTCATCCCAACACCTTCACCCTTACTTTACGGGAGAATGATGCAAACACTCGGGAAGCAGATCCTGTTAAATGCTCTCCTCTCAGCGAGCCTCCGAACCTGGTAACATCCTGCCGTGTCCACAGAGGGCCGGGCCTCCTCACAGAGCCTCAGAGGCTGGGGTGGTGTAGGAAAACAAGACTTGTCACAAGATCATCCTGCTTTACTTTCTCCAAAAAAAAAAAAAAAACTTGTTGTGGAGTCGATTCCGACTCACAGTTACTCTATAGGAGATAGTAGAACTGCCCCAGAGGGTTTCCAAGGAGCGGCTGGTGGATTCGAACTGCCGACCTTTTGGTTAGCAGCTGAGCTCTTAACCACTGCGCCACCAATGCTCAAGACCTTTAAAATACCAGGACATCCACTGAGTGCCATGGGGAGGGAGGCCTTGGGCCCAGAGCTCCGGTGCACTGACGCGTCTGCAGAATCCTCCCGAGCGCACCGTGTGGCCCACGCGTGCACTCTTGATTCCTGTCTTCTCTGTCTTCACAAAGGAGAGCGTGCCGCCTCCACACCCTGCAGCTGGTGTCCCTGGGGCCCGTCCCCAGGCAGAGGGGACCCGTGCACTGCGTCCGGACAGGGACCTCTTGGCCAGGCCAGCCCACCTTTCTTACTAACCCCGTGTGTTAGGGATTACATTGTGTGCCCTGGAGATTTTGCTTAGCGGGTACTGAGTTTATGTTAATGGTGGTGGAATAATTTGGAAATGGATAGTGAGAATGGTTGCACAACCTGAAGAATATCATCAACATCACTGAATTACACATGTAGAAATTGTTGAACTAGAGAATATTTTGTCGTGTATATTTTTACCACAATGAAAAAAATGTAATAGGATTAAACTTTAAGTGTTAAATTAAGTTTTAAAAAAAAAGTGTCCCACAAAAAGGTATGCTGATATCCTAACTCCGTACTCATGAACGTGACCCTGTTTGAAAATAGGGTTTTTTTTTTTAACAGTTAAATGAGGTCAAACTAGAGTAAAAAAAAGACCATCAAACTCGTTGCCATCGAGTTGATTCCGACTTACCGTGATCCTACAGGACAGAAGAGAACTTCCTCACAGGGTTTCCAAGAAGTGGCTGGTGGATTCGAACTGCTGACTTTTTGGTTAGCAGCCTGAGCTCTTAAACACTGCGCCACCAGGCTCTGTACCAGAGCAGGGTGGGTCCTAATCCTAAACCCCTTCTGAGTGGCGTCTTATAAAAGGGGAGAACAGACATGGAGATGGGGTCAAATATAAAGGAGGAAGAGGTCACGGGAGCCACATCTACAAGCAGCAAAGTAACGCCAAGGACGGTCAGAGCCACCGGAAGCTGAGCAGAGGTGTGAACATTTCCTCTCTCACAGCACTCAGGAGGAATCGACACGGCCGACACCCTGGTCTGGACTCCCAGCCTCTGGAACTGTGAGACAATAAATTCCTGTTCTTTCAAGCTGCCCGCTTTGCGGTGTTTCATTATGGCAGCGCTAGGAGACAAAGCCACTGTGCTGTTTTTAACTCTAATCTCTGTGTCCACAGCTCTGTTCACTGCTGCACTTGTTGGTGTGATCTTAGCAGTGATGCACCCACATGTCGCCCGTCTGGGTGTGTGCACACCTACCTCTCCTATTTGTAATGGGATCTTGGGCGGAGAATGAAACCAGTATTTAATCAGGCCTCTGTATCTCAGGATCATGAAGAAACAGGCTCCCACCAGCAATACCACTGACAGAGAGGCTCCCACAAACGTCAGGATGGCTTGTTCGAGTTTAGTAGCAGCTAAAAAAGATGACACGAAGGTGAAAAAGATGACTGTCCCCACACACGATACAATCAGCGGTTCACTTTTCACCCACCACTAGCTTCAACAGTATTCGAGTCTCAGTAGAATGGACAGATACCCTCACCCCACGTGGTTGAATTAACAGTGAATCAAGGCAATCCTGTAACAGCAGTCTTAGCCGTTGGGCCGCTTTTGCTGCTGTAGAGCTCACACAAGCGCATTATTCCTACAGGTACCTGCTCTCCTCTTAGCCCGTTCTCTGCGTCTCTCACCCTGCCTCCCTTGATACGCATTCCCCGATCTCGCCGTCTTGGCTTAGAAAGGGCACGAAGGTATGTTTTACCGTCCAGTGTTGTCTTGTGGCAAGATGTGTTGCTTAAGTTCCCAGGCAGAGAGATGCCTTGTGTTGACCAAACCAGTTCCGCCTGGACTTGTAAACAGTATACACGTAAGGGTTTTAAGTCATCCAACGAAATGAAATTGCTCTTGACAGGGCCTTTAACCTATTTAAAAGACACCAACAACCACACATGTCGATCGCCAGAACAGACATGTTCATGCTACTTCCAGCTTTTCCAATGTCTCAGGTAACACAGTCAACTAAAGAATAGGAGATGCAGTTCTTCAGGAGTCCCTGGATTGCAGCATATTCTAGGAAATATTTTTCATTTAATTCCCAACCTGCTTCTGGTTTTAACTGAAATGGGCTAATTGTTCCTATAGTTTTTTTTTTTTAATACAATTTTATTTTTTTGTTGTTGCCTCCTATAGTTTTGGTCAAAGTGATTTATGTTGTCAGGAAAGAGTTGGACCCCAAGGCCTCTGCTCTTCCTGCTGCTGCCCTCCCTCGGGCCTTGCTACCCCCACGCTTGTGACACCCTCGTCCTTGACATTGTTGTCACTGTCCCATAGGGAAGCGGGAAACAGATACAGCATATTATGACAATATAAGATTTCTTGTAAAGGACTTTTTTCCTTTTGAGATACAACAATATGCTGGAGTCATTTGAACTGGTGGTATAACATATACTCAGTAACATGGAAAGATGAAGCTGCTATACTACTGAATGGAAAAAAAAAAGCAGGTTATTCAATAGTATATACAGCATGATCTTATTTTTTAAGATATAAATATAGTTGTATTATCTATGAAGAGTAGGGTAACAAATGATTTTCTATTTTATTTTCTTCTGTTTAGTGGTGATGGACTGCCAGGGCAGAAAATTAATCTTTTTTTTTTTGCTCGTGATGCTGCATAAAGCAATTCTAAGGAAACTGTTCCCTGTGGCATAATTTCAGCAGCCAGTTGGCACTTCTGAAATTCAGGAAATTTTCAACCGTACAGAAGAGTTCACACAGCAGGCTGAGACAGCTTTCCTTAGAAAGGCCTACTCACAAGGCTGGTCCTGGACTCCCCTGGCTGCTGTCTGGGAGCTGGGATTTGGGGAGTGTTCCCACCATTCCCTAGCTGATAAGGGTGGTTCACTGCACCTAAACTGTTTGTGCAGACAGTGTGGTTTATGCTGAACACCTGCTTCCCTTCTGGGGGTCTGGAAGTTTGGAACATGCTGGGCAGAGGGAGGGACTTCCAAGAAAAACGCAGGGTGCTCAGCCCCCATGAACTTCCCTGGTAGATGTTTCACACATGCTCTCACAGCTTCTTCTCGGATGGACTATGTCTTTTGTGACTCTGGAGCCCTGGTGGCACAGTGGTTAAGAGCTTGGCTGTGAACCACAAGGTCAGCAGTTCGAATCCACCAGCTGCTCCTTGGAAACCCTATGAGGAAGTTCTACTCTGTCCTGTAGGGTCGCCATAAGTTGGAATTGACTCAACAGCAAAGGGTTTGTTTTTTTTTTTTGGTTTGTGTAACTCCCCTGGGAGAGGACTCTTGGAAGCTTCCTCCTGGCTTCCTTCCAACTTTGCCCTGTGTGCCTTTCCCCTTTTCTGGCTTTCGTTTGTATCCTTTTGCTTACTACATCACCGTCATGAGTATAACTACACGCTAGACTCTGCAAGTCCTTCTAAAAAACTCACTGAACCTGGGATGGTTTTGGGGACTCACAGTTGAAATGGAAATCATGTTGGTGGCTTTCCAAGTCATTTTAGCCCTAGCACCTTTTGTTCATGGAAACTCAGGAGCAGATACTCCAGATGAAAGGGGGAAAGGGGTCTGAGGCACACACTCCTGCTCCTCCCCACAGGTTCCAACTTACAACTCAACTGTTACGTTTTACACAGGAGGAAACTATGGCCTGGGGGGTTAGGTGACAGGGAGCTAAGCAAATTCCAGGTAGCAGAAGCATGGTCCATGTACTTTTCATTAGAACACACGGATAAACGGGGCTGGCTTCGATGTCTTAGAGGCCAAGCCTCCAGCACTGGGCAGCCCTGCCCCGCTCTAGGATGCCAATGGCACGGACAGACTGCATCATAAGAAAACAGAAGTGTGGGCAGGCCCCTGGGATGGAGCACTGTAATATGGTGCACTGTGGTCAAGAAACCAACCAGATGGTATAGACTCACAAGGCCAGAGCTCCCAGCCTGCCTCCACAACTCCAGCACCATATCTGCTCTCTAAGTGTAGTCCAAGATGCACATGTGACAGGCAGTCAGCTCTCCCGTCTGCTTTCCACCAGGCCCCTTTTGCTCCAGTTCACCCAGATCTCGCTCTGCTGATTTGGGGAGGCGAGTGTTTCCTTAGTCCCTATATGCTTCAGTGAGTTTTGTCTCCTCCAGTATTTCTAGACTCACCATAAAGAAACCAAGAGAAAGTGCAAATATAAACCACGTGGCAGAAAAATGTGGTGATTAAGAGCATGGATCCTGAGACTGGATGTCTCTGCCCTGCCTTGTGCTAGCTGACTCTGGGCAAGTTCCTCAACCACCTGGTTTCCCTCTTTGTGAAACAGGTTGGGATAAAGATTAAATGAGACAATGTATCTAAAATGCCTGGCCCAGGGCCAGACACGAAGGAAGCTCTTGATAAACATAAGCTCTTACTACTATTAAAATTTATAATAATGTTGAGTTCAGGAAATCATGACGTTTACATGGATGATAAAACCTCATTAAGCTTTGTGCAGCTTGGGTAGTCAGGCCCTTGAGATGACGAAAGGCCGTCATCTTTCTCCTGCGTTGCCCAAGGCTGAGCAGGCCCTTTTGATCCCACGTACCTCTGTTAACCTTCTGTCCTGCCACCCCCTGATACGGCCTGCATTTCTGATGGATCAAAGCCCTTGAAGTTCTCCAGATGTGCCAGGCATTCGCTTACTGGCTATCACTTTTCCCTAGAATGTTCTTTCTCCTTAAGGATTGATTGTTCACCTATTCACATGTGCCCTCTTTGCAAACAGTTCAAACCAGAGAAACACATGGTTAATGCTGCAGATCAGTGGTGGGCTCCTTGTTGCAAAAACAGGCCCAATGAAACCTCCCCAAACTCCAGAGCATGACAGAGGCCACGTGAGCAACACATCGGCCACATCTGGACCCCAAACCAGAAGGGGTACTGTTAGACCTTCAGACTGATCTGGCCGAGGAAGGGAAGTCTCCTCCATGGAGCAGAGAAGCAGGTCTTAAAAAGGAGGACTCAAAGGGCTCAGGTCTCAGAGTCTAAGGAGATGTTAGGAGACCCTGTTCTCCTTGCCCGTTTGCAAGTTTACTTTCTTCTATGAAATCAAAAACTCTAAAGAAAGAAAATCAAAAAAGAAGAAAAATGCTCTTGCCTTTCGGGTGCCAGCCTCTTCCCAGTAATAGACGTAATACTCAAACGTGACCATGGAAGTGTCAATGTCAAAGGGGGCAGAGAACCTGATGATAAGCGAGCCTTCTCCTGGAGCCACCTCCATGTTTTCTGGGGGCCCAATGGTAACTGAAATAGAAAAACAGAATAGAGAAAATCCATATATCTACATCTATATCTATACATAAAATTAAAAAGAAACTGTTGCTGTTGAGTCAATTCCGACTCACAGCAACCCTACAGGACAGAGTAGAACTGCCCCATAGGCTCTCCAAGGAGCAGCTGGTGGATTTTGAACTGTCCGCCTCTTGGTTAGCAGCCAAGCTCTTAACCACTATGCCACCAGGGCTTCATACATATATATTTTTTATTTATTCATTCATTTATGTGTAAATAAATAAATATATGCAATATATATATGCATTGCCCACCAGGGTGACTTCTTTTGAGGTTCAACGAAGTTTTCAGATGCCCAAGATTACTCAATGCTGCTCTGGGCACCAGGTTTACCTGGAAGAGCCGGGACAGCTGCAGTGCAGCCCCAGGGCACCAGGTTTACCTGGAGGAGCCGGGACAGCTGCAGTGCAGCCCCAGGGCCTCTTTCTCTTGGAAGGAGGGGTCCTCACAGCAGGGCACATGGTAGCTGGAGTGAGACTCTCTGGCCCCCAGGAGAAGCCCAGGTTCCAGGAGCTGAGATTCACACTCGGCAGATCACAGTGGTGGGCTCCTTGTAGCCTAAACAGACCCATGGAACCTCCCCAAACTCCAGAGTGTGACAGAGGCCACGTGAGCAACACACAGCCACATCTGGACCCCAAAGCAGAATGGGTGATGTCGGAGCTTCAGACTGATCTGGCCGAGGCAGAGAAGTCTCCTCCACTGAGCAGAGAAGCAGGTCTTAGAAAGGAGGACTCAGAGGACTCAGGGATTAGACTCTAAGGAGATACCAGACGCCATTCTGGTTTGGGGTCCAGACGTGGCTCCCTGGATTAGGAGCCAGGGACTCGTGTAACAACTTCACAGAAAGAATTCTCAGGGTCCTCCCAAGCGACATGCCCAGTTACAAGAACCACTGCAGCACTCAGCAAAGCCAGCAGATGCAGCTGCCCACCAGGTGTTTAAGGTTCTCCAGCTCGGGTGCAGTGTAGCCAGCAGAGGTGGTTTTCACTGTAAACAGGGCTGCCTAGTAACATGGCTGGCAGGACATCTTAGTCCAATTCCCAGAGAAACACAGCTGGAAAGTTCACCAAAGGCCAAATTCTCACACAGAGGGGAAAAGATTTTGTTAGCTCCTACCTACAACAGATACATCAAACTTCATCATAAAGGAGCAAAAACAGTATTTACAAACCTGTAAATGCATTTGCCTCTGTGTCTAGCTTAATGCTATACGGTGTTTGAACCTAAGAACTGAGAAATAGGAAGAAAGGCTCGGTGATCTGAAAGGCCTGAAAAACCAGCTTCGAACACCCCGTGGAGCACAGTTGTGCTCTGACACACGCAGGTGTAATGTGCCTTAGAACTGACTCCGTAGCCAGCTGGCCAGCTGGTCAAGTCTGTTTGTGAAGGGTTTTCCTATAATTCATAGGACAGCCAAGGACTGTGACTCATTCTGTGCTGTAAGTGAAAGGTTACAGTATTTCTCAAGTAAGCTTTTACACTGAGTAATTAACCCAAGGAACTCGAAGTACAGGCTGGGTCCTACAAGTTCTAAGAGCCCTGTTGCTGGACATTCTGCACGCACAGATGGCCATTAGTGACCTGTGAGCAGTATTGCTCACAGCAGTGGGGTGGATTGCGCTGACACTGTCCGCTCTCCCTCTTGGCCTCTCCCAGGTTGGCTAGAGTGAGGCATATGGTTTGGCCAGGCTTGTCTCTGTGCAGAAATGACGCGTCCCTACAGAGTTTGCACCTCTGTCCCCTGATCTGATTTGTCTGGAGGAGGAGCTAAGTCTAGACAATGTCCAGTGGCAGAGATGGGACCGGGCCGGGTCCACTGCCAGCCAAGCTGTGAGTGGACTGGCTGCTAGTGACAAAAAGCTCTCGTTAACCTCACTCACGGATGCTGGCTCACATGTTCTCCAGCTTCCCTTTGGGCAGCTAAGTGAGCAGAGTGCAGGAAAGCGTGCCGACTGGCAGGGCCGGCCACCTGCTGCAGGCCTCTGCACGATCGTGTCTTCTCTTATGCTTCTCTGTTTCCACGGGCACCAGCCAGGACTAATCACTGAACTGCTGGAAGGTCGGGGCCGAAAGACCAGCTCTTGTAAAGAGGCCTGGATAAAAGACGTGCCTACACTGATGGCTGTGACCAGTGACACCAGTGTGCGTCCCGTCTGGCACAGAGGTGAGCAAACACTTCCCAGTATAAACGGCCAGACAGTAAATTCAGGGCAGGTGGTTTCTGCCCCACCTGCTCAACTCGGCTGTGGTAGCAGGAAAGTAACCTTAGACAATATGTAAACAAGTGGCCGTAGCTGTGTTCTAATAAAACCTTTCTTACAAAAGCAGGGAGTGGGCTGGATTTGGCCTGCAGCAACAGGGTGCCGACCGCTGGTCTAGCAAACCTCTCTCCTCTGGCATCAAACTCCACGGCAGGTCCTAGGGTTTCCCCACCACCCCCGCCTTTTGCTGGTCATTCTGGGTTAAGAGCGAGACTGAGGTGCTTGGAATCAACAGTGCTCACTGCAAGAGGTCAGGGAAGAAACCTGGACACGGTGAAGAAGTTTAATACCCAAGGTGTCTCACCATTCCGGTAATGCTGAAACCAAGGCACCGTCGCCCAGGCAGAGACGCGGTCTCCCAGCTCAGCCTGCACACGCAAAGAGACGTTGAAATGCCGTGGAAAACCCTGCAGGAGGCCGGCTGCCGTGAAGTCGCACCGTGTCTCCGTGGTCTTCCTGCAGTTCACCCCTGACACGTCGTCCCACTCGCTAGCAGTGCTGGAAAGGAAAAAGGATTTCAATCCACAGAATTCTCTCTCCTCTCATGGATAACAGTTGGCCCAGAGCTCATTGTCTTAACAGCTTTATTGAGAGAGAATTCACACACCATACAACGTACTGGAGTCCCGGGGTGGCGCAAAGAGTTAACCGCTCAACTACCAGCCCAAAGGGTGGTGGTTCAAACCCACCCAGAGGCTCCTCGGAAGACAGGCCTGGCCATCTGCTTCTCAAAGCTCACAGCCTGGACAACCCTAC